TCTCTCTCTCTCTCTCTCTCCTCCCACTCCTCACTCTTTCTTTTCCTCTACGGTCAATGGAATTCTTTACACTTACTTTCTCGTGAACCCAAGTTCATTTTTGAGATTGTCTAGGTATACTAACAAAAGAATCCTCTATTAAAAGCATCCCGTAGGGAGTTTCAGAGATGTTCTTTCCTTAAACCTGTTCTGTACCTGTATCTCTGTATTGTATACATCTATATTTTAAAATTCCAAGCAAATGGTACACAATAGTATTCAAACAATGAACAATGTTTTTCTAAAAAGTGTCAAAAGTATCGATTAAAATATCAAATAGTTTGTCTTTATTTCTGCACCGCACTAGAACTTCCTTTCTAGCTTTTGACAAATGCAAACATGTACCTGTCTCACTTTAAGTTCCAAAAGTATACACTAGTTCAGCCATAGAAAATTGCAAATCTAATAAATACTCTCAAATGCGATCAAATATGTTCCGTTTATCGCCCTCGACAATAGCGAGAGATTCAGCTCGTTCGAGCTTAATTATTTAAATAAATAAAATATATGTCGTGTGAAGAGGTATAGATTTAACTGTTCTTTGCAAAATTATTCGACGCGGCTCATTTAAAAGTTACTTCCAATTTTAAACGCAGTGTCGCAAATCCATATTACGAGAAAAATATCGAAGAACATATTTTATAGCGTTGTTCAATTCGAAACGTTCAAGAATGTATAAAGGCTCGAGCATCAGTCGAAGGCCATTATGCACTATACGTCTGGCGACAGTATCGTTTGTTAAACGGCAGTCGTCTCTGCCATTTGCTTTAGCTTCCTCCTTTTCTACCACATAACTCTCTCTCTCTCTCACTCTCTCTTTCTTAAGCCAGTTATATCTCTTTCCACCTATCTGTTTCTCTTTTTCTATCATTCCGTCTTTCTCTCTCTCTCTCTCTCTCTCTCTCTCTCTCTCTCTCTCTCTCTCTCTATCAGTCTTCCCCGCACCCTGCGTCTCTCCTCATGCTGTCGTTCTCCTTCTCCTACTATAGCACCGCTTGCGTATCTGTCGGTCGGTCGGTTGGTCTGGTCCCTTCTTTCTAGTGTGTTTGTGCTCGGTTAGCTCAGTATCGCATTATGCTACGGTCAGATCGCGTCGCAGGGTGCTGCAACTGTTCCGTGTCAGTGCCGCGCCAACCAAATCGTTCCGTTTCCCGCAGTGCACCCTCGATTGAATTTACCGGCGGGAATTCCTGCGGTGCGCCCGGGAAGCCGCTGGCATGCGACTGGCGGGAAAATGGGAAAGACCGCCAGCAAACTGAAGTCGCGAAGAAGCCAAAGTCAGTGCGAATTTTCCTATACCACTCGCCACGTAGTACACGCGGTGTCCCCCGTGTTTGCGTACACGTCGTGCGTTACTTCAAGCACGAATTCGAGTTCGCCGCCCTTTTTCGATAAGAAATATCAACGGGCGGTGAACACGCACGATATCGCGCCGAGATTCTCGCTTGTGCGTAACGAGGTGCGTATTTGTACAAACTAAAGACGAAGAAAGCGACTGTTCTCAAATTTCAACAATATTCTCGACAACGTTTTCGCTGTATCACTGAATTATTTTTAAGTTGATAAATCATTGACGAGAATCATTAATGTGTCGTGTTCTTACTCCGAGATTCGTGATATGCTCGTGTGCTCTATACTGGCAAGAGAAAGGCGATAGTGCACTTATCGCGGCATACTCGCGGATCGCGTTGCGGAGACACGTGTGCGCTCCGCTTTTGATAATCCCGTCGTTATCCGAACCCCGCATCCGTATAACGTTACAATCGTCGAGGAAAACCACATACGTAAAGCGTAAACGTTACGTAAATCCTACGACGAAAGGAGGAATATCGGTCACCGTCAATGATTCGACACGTGTGACCGCATAAAAGCCAGCGTGATTACATAATTACTGTTTTTAAATGATTACGCTCCTTCCGCGATAGCTGGAAATGAATTGCAAATGATTATACAGGGTGATTCATTCTAATCTCAACAGGCAAGTATTTTGAAATTGTGCTGCAATTTTACAGAAAACATTTCAAATAAAAATGTCTAGGATGAGAAAGTCTTCTCTATACCAGACAACTTTTATTTAGAATGTTCTTTTTCTTTTACAAATCTGCACATTTTCGAAATATTTGCCTGTTAAGATTAAAATGAATCATCTTGTATGTGTGCACACACATATAATCAGCTGTACTCCAAATAATCATTGAACGGTTTTCACGAAGCAAATAATAAAAATCTCGATACATTTATCGTCGACGCCTACGACTCGGTCGTGTAAAATACCGAAAATTGAAGTGGATTCAATTATCATTCTGAATCGAAGCTCGAAACTAATCCAGATAGAATCTGATATCTATCAAGAAGACCGATTGATCGTGTTACGAATGTTTTCCAGTCGAACGAATAAAAGTATAGAAAAAAGTAGAAATTAAGGAAGAGAATGAATTGTTTTCAGTAACTGGTGCATTGGAATCCACGTATATAATATAATAAACATACGACTGATCGCGCATCATATTCGCGTGCATGATGTAAGACCGTGGTGAAAGTAGAACTTTTCGCTCTGTTCGAACGCGATGTGTAATTTACACGCCGTTACATAAATCGCATTCTATCGCTATCATTATTTTGAAAACCGTGACGGTGAACGCGCATTTCCCGCAGTACTGTAAGTCTCGATAAACGGCTCGTTTTGATTGTCTTTTTCTCTGTACGTGACTCGATTGAAATTCCTTTTGCGAAGTACACGCGTGTAATTATACGACGACAAAGGAAACGGAGACCTTTTGGGCGCAGGTTACGTTCAGGTAAAGGTACTGTTTCATGAAAGTAAACGTTGACATTTGAAAACACACGCACGGTATCCTCACGTTCTAGTAATAACATTCTTTACTTGGAGGTAATCTTTTAACAAAAACATTATTTCTCATATTTTCCAGTTTTTAACATTAAATATTTTCAACAGTAATCGTTAAATAGCCAATCTGTTAATTCATAATTTATTTAAAATTAAACATACGTTTATATATGGTATTTATTTATTTTCAAAAGAAAATTGCTGTCTTATTACTTAAAAGCTATTGCGATTATACATTCAATATTTTTGTCAAGAAAAGAACAATTAAAAAATCTGTAAAAATTAGTTTAAACTTTAAATCTTACCATTCTGTAATATTTTACAATGTCTAATTAGAGTTATTTTAAAATAAAATAAACTTTATCATCACAGTTATTTTCCAAAAAGGAACATCTGATTTTCACAGTGGAATAATTTCCAAGCGAGCTAAATGTGAGAGATAAAGAGTGACGAACAGATTGTGAACGTTATCAAGCAGGCTCCACATCAAGCGGTAAAATATTTAACTTGGTTTATCTCATATACAACCATATGCGCTACCGTGTATGATTAAAGTACAATATATATGGTCTGCAAAATTTCACAGCTTTTTTTTTTTATTGAATTATGAAACAATCTTTTATATTTATATATGACTAGACATTTCGCTACCGGTGAATTCTCCATTATTTCTGTTTTTGAATTTTTTTTAACTCTCGTCCGTGCAGTATCGTCGTTGACAATAACTGACGTGTCACAAGAATTAGATTAAAAATCATTCGGTTTTAAAATCACAATTATTATATGTAGCAATTTTACAATTGTACAAAAATTAATAACTTTGCTGCGACTAAAAGACTTTGGTTAAACTGTTTTTCGCTTTTATACGATCGATGGCACTTCTCTCTCAGCATCGCATCGATATCTCCGGTAAACGGGGACGTTATCACCATCAGCAGGTATTATGTTCGCGAGGGATACGAACAAGAAGTAGGCAGAAAAAATATATATATATATTTTTATATATATATATATATATAGACAGCCAGAGCGGAACAAACAGGTAGACGCAGCGAGTGCAAAGGTGAGAAAGAGGTAGGTAGAGAGAAGCCGGGTAGCGGGTACGGGAGAAAGAGAGAGAGGCGAACGACTTTACAAACCGGCATTCCTCTACTCCGCTTTTTCAAACGCGTGCAAGCCGCTGCATCAAGAGACCGGCCCCGCTCGCGGTGCATTCAAGTTCGACGCGAGCCGTTTACGTGCGCGCGTCTTATAATGCGAGCTCAATGAGATTGCGATCGCGCTCGTCATCCACCGTCGTGCGAAATCGTGCAACGCGATGTGAACACGATCAACAGGATGGAATTTGTGGATTCCATAAAATTAGGAGACGGCGCGATCAGTATATGTGAGTGCACGCCGGAACACAGTAATCTTCATTTTCACATCAGCCAAAGATTTCAAGCTGCGTGCGCGAATGGAAATGTCAGCCGCGAAACGTTTTATCTATAAAATTACATTGGACACGATTTTGTATATACTGAATTGTATGTACAGCGGTCGTAAATCAAAATGCTAACTGTCTTGAGACGAGGATTAATAATAAGTGAAATACTAATTAATACGGAGAAATTGAACGAAAGTATATTAAGCAAGCAAATATGCACCTCGTTCTAAGTCGCTTTGGAATTGCTTTCTTTTAATAATATGTGGGTGCTTGTTAATTGTTCGACTAACACATATCGACATAAATGTAACATTATGCATGATTAAATTGGAACTAAATATGCATTAATGTGTACTATGTACTGTTATATACGTGGACAAAGTTGGATTTATCGTTTAACATCATGCTTGATATTTTTCAATCCGTGATGGTGATGGAAACTGCAGAGAGAATTTTTCTATCTCTCCTGTACCTTTTTTTTTTTGTTTATAACCCGCCGCGTTAGTAACTATTTAACTGTCACTATAGGAAACACGAGCTTACACAGCTGACTATTATAGCTCTCAAACTAACAATATAAGTAGAGATGTGTAATGTTGTGTCGACGGCAATTGGAACGCAAAGGTGTCTCCAATCTTTCCAATCGCGATATTCTGTCAGAATATCGCAATTGGAAAGCATCAGATATTAATCAGCATTGAGCGCGTATTTATCGGTGCCATGTATCCGATAAATCGCCCTTTATTATTCATTCGTAAATTTATCGCAGTTCTCAATTTCGTCACACTATTTCACATCTACGGCTACATTGTATACGTCTGTCGATTGAATTCGAGAGGAACGATAACACTTTTACACGTAAATTTCTTTACGGCACATTCAGGCATAGCATGGAGCTTTCGATTCCCATCTATGGGTACTCTGCAGAACCTAGGTACCAACAGCCGACGGCGCAAACGGAATGATCTTGCTTCGTCGGACTCGTGTAAGGATCTTCGGCAGAAGAGACACACGATACACCTGCAGCCGGAAGTAATCATTCAGAGAGAACCCTGCTTGATCGTAACTCCGCCATCACCTGAGAATCTCGTCGAGGATAACTCGAGGTTCGTGTAAAGTGTTTTAAATATTGTATGTACGACCCATATATTTTGGAAGCGTCTGAAATATAGCGAAGACACTAAGAAAATGACGTGATAAACATCGGAACATAACGGTAAATTTTAATTTTTTAAAACTTATACAAGAATGATTTTATTGAAATATATTGATACAGAGATCTGAAAATAATTCTGGTGATCCATCAAAATAATTATGTGCGGGAAATAATTAGAGTAATGCTGCAAAAAAATGTTGATATCGTATAGCAACCAGTTTGAACGTCCTGTATAATTATTTTGATAATCTAACAAAATTATTTTCGAACCTGTGTATCTAGTTAAATTTTTAAATACTTTAGCAATGTCGTTCTTTTCAGTGTATAATAACATTCTGAAATTCCGGATTATTAAATTTTGCCTACTTTTTTTATCTGTTTGGATCTCCGTGTAAAAGGATTAAAGGGTTATAAAACATGCGAGATGAAAGCTGCGGGAACGAGAAACATGAATAAACGAAGGTGAATAAGGGATTAGGTACCGTGCAAGAGGGACACGGCTTTTTGCTAAAGTCGAACACTCAAAGTTATAGCTTATATGACTTAGCCTCTTTTGAGAGTACATCGAGATACCAGTATAGGAATATAATGGGTCTGGCGACTCTCGAACCGGTTTCTCTCGATCTCTACCTTCAGAATGACGTACTCCGTTCCCGTATATGACCGGCTAACAAATGCGGGAATTCCGTAACAGGAGTATAAAACCGGGAAACTATAACCGAGCCACCTGTCATCGAGAAACGACCTCGGGTACCGTGACCTATCGAGGGAAAAATACGTACGTCACTCCAAGTGTTACGGGATGATTGACGGATCAAAGAAACCTATCAATCATTCTCGAAACGTTCTCTCGTGATTAATCACGGCAATACAGAAGTTCATTCCCGCGTGTCCCGTATAAAAAATTTAAAACAACATTTTTCCGAGAACGGAATACACATGCATGGATACATTTGGATCTCAGGCGACTTTCGAGATAAATCCCGGTACAAATGCACGTCGGTCAGCAGTGGCAGCAATCTTCGCGAAATATTACATTTACATGCGAGATATGACGTCGACATTGTAGCCCGCGGGAAGATTTTGCAGTTGCTCTTCTCTGAATTGCGATTTTCACGACCGACTATGCAAAATCTTTGTTTCTCTTATTTTGATTACACTTGCTTCGTATCGAATTAACCTGTGAGCCTTTATTTGTTTACATTTGTATATGCACACATATTTTTATTTTATTCATATATTATTGCATTGCGTCTAATAATATGGAAATTTAATTATAATTTATACGAAATTATAATATTATATATTATCAGGAAGAGGTAGGACCGCACTTCTTAATTGCAGAGTAAAAACTTGAAATAAAAATGGCCTAGGTATAAATCATTATACTTTAAAGTCATCTCTTATACGAGCAAGTACAACACATCGGCTCAGAGCATCTCGATGATGCCACTTATCGAACGTTTCCGGATGACGCAAGCGCACTTTGGGCGTCGACTCCCTCTGTACACGCAGCCCCTTGTCCGAGGGGATCAATAACCCCCGTATCGACGGAATAACCCGGTTGGAAGCGATAAAAGCGATGCACTTTTACTCTATTTTGCGTCACATCTTTCGATATATAAGAAGATACGTCGTAACATGAGAAGCATTTATCGTCGATACGCATCTACTGCGATATCCATCGTCTATCAAAACCACTAGCTTTGACGAACGAGAAGAAGGAGCGGGTGTAGAACGGGTGGAAACGAACGAGGGCGATAACATCGCAGTAGTGTACCATCAGGGGTTCAAAGGTGCATAGTAATCACAATCGTTGTCATCGAATGAATGTAAAATATGACGGTATCTTTTTTTTTTCAATTACCTTTGTATGCGAATTGAAGCAAAAAAATGTAAACTATAAATAATTACAAAGTATTATATTTTACGTAGAAAAAAAAAAAAAATTGAGCATTCAACTTGTTCTATGATGATTTAATCAAGTTAACAGACCATGTATGTCGGAGTTGCTCTCACACTAACCGGCAGCATTATTTTTTACACGCTCGTTATCCGCGACGACATGGCCCCTCATCGCGCGAGTTCAGCTCCGTCGGATTTAACCGCTGGTTAATCGCCGGCAGCGTACACGGATGAACAAAGAAAGTCAACGGGAAGAAAATATTTTCCTTGGCACGCGTAACCAATCTTCCCTCTCTCTCTCTCTCTCTCTCTCTCTCTCTGCCACTCTCTTATCTTTCGCTCTCTTTCTCCGCGATCTATTAATACCACTCGAAGGTACCCCCGCGATACCCCGTGAAAATACGATCCTGCTTGAGTCGCTGGTCAGTGGGGTGCGTGCGTGCGCGCGCGTAGTCTCTGAACTCGACAGTCGCGGTCAAACTCTATCCGCCCGTCCAAAGAGCCGCACGGAGCTCTTCTTCTGGACGAAGGAACCGAGATCTGTGAGAAAGAACCTCGCTAGAGGTCGAGCACGAAGCGCAGAGATGTGAACGACTGAAGGTCTCGTTCTGATCGCAGGACGCCGGAGGAAGACAGCGACGCGAGGGTGGATCACCGCGTCTACCCTTCAAGCGAGCAGGAATTACCCCCGACGAAGACACCCGAAAACAGCAATAACCTGTCACCACTGATGGTGAGTACCCGATCGTATAATATATGAGTTGTTTATCACTGAGGATCAGGTTTTGTTCACTGCTTGGAGAAATTGAGAGACGTTGCATTAATTAAATTCACTACGATCTATCTTCGTATAATCATGAATATGAATATTCATGTGAGCACTGATTTGACTTAATTAATTCGACATCGTACACCAAATGTCGTGTACTCAATGTCTATCCTTCGCCGATTCTCTGAAATCCGGAGTCGATTCCTAAACTAGTCAATTCCTAAAATGTTATAATGTTCTCTCTAACTGAAATATTAAAGTTATATTTTATTTTCATTCAAGAATTAAATCAATTTTTAATTAATTTTGAAATCACATATATCTTAAAATAAATCTTCGAAAATTAAAAATGAGAAATTAAAATTTTAATTTCTTTTCGTTCTTTTTCTTGAAACTTAAAGTTTTAAAAAAAACCCACTTTTTTCGATCGTATGTAACTAAAAAAACTAATTCCCGATATTTTTGTTCTTACAAACTTTGAATTGATAAAAAATAATAATAAATACATACTGCACCACATCCGGGGAATATTTTATATGCCACATTGATCTCTAATACAGATTTGCGTAATCGATTAAACATGTAATTATGGGTTTAAGTTGAAGCGGCAACGGCACGTTTTTTTTTTGTCGTACGATATAGAAAGAAATTAAATAGAACGATATACTCAAGTACAAGCCATGATGGGTTGTGTGATAAACTGAGCTATTTGACGCGTTGATGACGAGTCGCAGATAATCGAAGGCAATGTGATGGGGAGCTCAAGGCTGCTCTTATTAAGCCAATCTTCGCCGGACCACAGACTCCGGTCTCTAGCATTGATTGCTACAATTGTTTTACGCGGAACGTTCGTCGTTTCTCTTCTCTTATTCCAAGTAATTAATTAACGATGTGAAAATGTTCCGACGTAATATATCCAAATCATGTACGACAATATAATAATTCATCATTTATATAGTTTTAGAGAGAAGTTCATTGATAAAGTCAAGTTTTTGATTGGTATTAATAGAGCATTTTTTATTCGATTTAATTCACACTGCATATCTGCGATGTCTCAATTCCGTTCTATTTAAAAGAAATGTACATATTTAAAATGAAATATATAGCACAGTATAAATGCTTCGAAATTAAATTAGAATTAACGAAATCCAGGTGATATAAAAATCCCTCCTTTTATCGGTTTTAAAGGAGCCACCTGAGGAATCCACTCGCAAACTCTTGGAAAGAGAATTGCGACTTCTCGATCCTCGAGATCTACGATCGCACGCCTGGTACCATGGTAGTACGTTGCGTGGCGGCCGAAAAGGTGCGGAGGCGGAAGTGTCGAATGACGGCGACTTTTTAGTGCGCGATTGCGCCTCCCAACCCGGCAATTATGTCCTAACTGTACGATGGAAAGGTCAACCGTTACATTTCGTTATCAATCGAGTAAGTTGTCACAATCAAATCGAGGAAGGTTGCTTTAAAAATTCTAATCGCAAGATAATTGTTTTGGATTAAACAAAACATCAAATATACTTTTCTCGTGTACAAAGAAATTAGAAACAAGTATGTTAAAAGAGTTTCTTTGAATGTCATCAGTCGTATTATGTTGAACTGAAAAATTTTCCCTTTTTCAATCGTTTTCCATTAAATATATAAACATATATAATTTAATATCTAAAGTGTTTTCAATCTATTCAATTTTACATAGATTTAAAAATAATCCGATTTTTCTCGATAGGTCGTAATTCAGCCCGATACAGTTTACGAAAGGGCGCAGTATCAGTTCGAAGATGAGGCTTTCGATACGGTCGCCGACCTGATAACCTTCTACGTTGGCAGTGGTCGACCGATTAGCCAAGCAAGCGGGGCTCGAATCATTACTCCAAAACCCAGATCGGTGCCACTGACATGCGTCGCAGGGCCTACGAGTAATCAACACTGTTCTAGTCCTTCCTCCACCTCTCTGTCGACTGGTTCGCCACCTCGCTTACCCAGAAAACAACAACGTAGTCATTCTCTGACCGCTCAGCATCATGCTCCGCACGCAGATCAGCACGTTGCTCGAGATAGCAATCAACAAACGGGATCGCAATTACCTATCCAATCCAGTACCCTGCCACGAGTACCGCCAATTCAGAACCAACCACCCTCTTGTTCTCTATCGCTGGGTCGTCAAAAGATCACCCGGGTGATATCGGATCCAGCGTTGCAACAGCAACAGCAACAGCCACCAAGTTTGAATCTTCAAAACGCCATGAACACGGCGCCACCCAAACCTCCCAGAGTGCCCTACGTGCCGAATCATCAGCAGCATCATCATCATCACCATCATCATCATCACCATCATCATCATCAAAGCTATCAGGCCTCTGGCAGTGACAGCGGAAACGGATCGGGAGACAGCGAGTTTGAGACTAATAATTCTGGCGGTGCCAGCAATCCCTCTTCTTCGGTGCCAATCAAGGGCGTGGTGATACGTAGTCATTATAATACCAGTAACGACGGTATCAATGGCAATAACAACAGCGAATACGAACTATCGGCAGAAGAACAATTAGTGGTAGCCGCACCGTCTTTAGAAATCACCACCATGCTCGACATCGAGGGTTTTACGACATTGTTGTTACCAGCCGGTGAACACAGACCTCTGGATCCAACAGCCCTGAGGGGAGTCTCAGGAATGTTATTGGATTCAGCTCCAAGAGTGCTCGCCTCTCATATCACGAGGCTCGATCTTGAAGTGGCACTTCAACCGGGACCAGGAAATAGAAGCGGATTAAGCGGTATCGAACTGGCGACCCTTCCTCATGGTAGACAAGCTAGAATGGACCTAATTGAAAGATCTGAATGCCTGAAACTATTGGTGGCGGTGACCGTGTTGACTGGCGCTACAGCTATAGGTGAGTTTCGAAATTTTGTTTTATTTAATTTTAATTAATTTTTGGCTGTGATATATATATAAAATTTAGAAAAATTAATTAAAAAAAACATATTTTAAGTTTAGAGCAAAATAAGTTAAGTATAAGTTATAAAAGTATTAAAAGGAGAATATTTAATTTTCCTTGCTTCTAAATAACAATTGTGATATTATAGAGAGAGCAGCTACCATCAGCAAATGGATCAAAGTAGCAATCGATACTAAAACCGCACTTGGCAATCTTTATGGCTTCTGTGGCGTAATGCTCGGTCTATGTTTACCCCAAATTCAGAGACTAGCCAATACATGGCACTTGCTACGACAAAAACATACGGACGAAGCTTTCAGTTTCGAAGCAAAACTGAGACCTACTCTACGGGCTATGAACGAGTGTACCAATCCACAGGCGCCTAATACAACGTTACCACATTTGCTACCGATTGCGCTACTTGGCGAACGTGGTCCCGAAGATATTTTAGGTAATCACATAAAAAATAATTGTAAAATAAAATTATTCGCGAATTAAGTGAATTAAGTTAAGTTTTAATCAATGAATAAACAGAAAATATCTTCCTTCGTTTACATATTTGCCTCATAATTTTAAATCTGATTTTAAAGTCAGATATCTATTTTTGTTAGTAATTCTTTTTCATTATTATTAATTATTGATTCACTCTCTTTTTCTCTTTCAATACTATATCATTTCCTTATTCAATAAACTTTATTATAGGTACTGTAGCACCTTTCGGACTTACAGCAGCGATACTTTCACCATGGGAAAATTCGGCATCCGATTGCGGTTTAACAATCGTCTGGTCGCATCTTGAAGCGGCTCGCAAACTAGCCGATAGTCTACCGCTCTTCCGCAGGAATGCGGAAATCGTCCTAGAAGGTTGCAGAAATGATGAATTATTATCGGACGCCTTTCGCACTGAATTTCATATCAAGTTCTTATGGGGCAGCCGTGGTGCTACTGTCGCTCCAGAAGAACGTCATTTGAAGTTCATTCAAGTCTTAGATGCAATGTACGACAAGTGTTCGGCTAGCGAAGTGGCCGCTTAAAAAATAAACCAAAGGATCTCAAAGATCTGAATAGAGAGAGACTGAAGAGAGATAATTCTCCATGTGAGAGTTTATCCTCTTCTTTTAAATGCGGGAAATATCACCGTTATAGATCTTTTTTTTTTTTTTTAGATTTTTATAGTTTCAAAATGCGTTGGCTAACACGATACCACAAGAAATTAAAACATCCCATGCATTAATAAAGTGGTACCTTATTGCTACTACATATAATCTTAAATCGTAGAGCATATCTCTGAAATACCGAATGTTCTTCCTAAACCTAACGCTTGTTCTGAGTCGTGTAAGCAACAGCATCCAAAGAATTGATCGAGAGGCTTGATCGAAGCCTACATACGTATCGACAACTGTACTTAACTTTAATTGACAATGTAATTCTATAATGTTATGTTGTAAGTGTTGTTCATATATTTGTTCATACTTAATATACAGATTTAAAAAAGTATTTGTCGTGATTTTTTATTTTTATCAAAACACCTTCATTAAAATTCTTGGGAAAACAAATTTATGTGATATTTATACATTTGTAATATTTTTATGGATTTATTAACTCAAATTAAAATTTTAATTAAATTAAAACTTTTTTCAAAAACAATACCGTTTTAAGATATTTATAACAACTTAAAACAGTATGTAAGATAATTTTAAATATAAGAACCGACTATAATACCGACCATCATAAAAACGCTAATGAACGGCGGCTTATACTTATGTTCAATTTCTTCACCTCTACACACAAGACCATTATTCGGCAGATATCTCCTGGATACAGTTATTACAGTTATCTGCAACTTATCTGAAAGTGAAAAAATTAGGCATTAGAGATCTTCTACTAAGATTCGATTTGAGCTAATTTTTGTATACACAATAGAGTTTCAATAAAATCTATAACAGAGAAAAATATATTGTAGGTATCTTTTAATCTTAGCACGTGTCTAATCTAAATTTGCAATGCTAGAATACGTGTACGATGTACACAACGTTCTACACAAAAATATAATAATAAATCGATGGCGATGCATTTGTAAAATAAATATTAAAAGTATTAAAAAATTTTTATTTCTTTTTCTTTACTTACCTGAATATTAAATTGTATATCTTGAAACATGTGAAAATTACAAAACTGAATAAATTTATTGGGTAAAAATTTATTAAGTATTAATAAAATTATAAATATTCCAGTAAACTTCACTTTAGTAATTTTAACTTCGTTTCAAGATACACAATCAAATCTTTAAATTTTCCATTAATTTTGTAAAAACAATTCTCGCACACATTATTTCAACACGTAATGTAAGTTTATTTGTCAACATCTTTCAAATATCTAATTTTAATTACATTGTTGAATTTTAAAAATAATACAAATTTAGGTGTTCAAATATAAGGCGGGAATTCCTGAAATATGGCTGACCAATCAACGCGCGACTTTGTAAGATCGTAACTCTTAACAGAAATCGCTTAAAATACAATCGTGTCGACTCTCAGCTTCTCTCTGATCGCAGGGCGGTGCCAAAGCCGCTGAGCAGTCTATATTTTCTACGTTTATGACCATAATAGAGATCGTTTTAGAGTAGGAGCGCGCGAGAGGATGCTCCGCGAGTAAGTGACACCAAGTGACACCCACTGCAGGCAGGTTATTCCGCTAGAACGAAATCCATTGGTAAACATGCAGCCGCGGTATTACCATCGTGAGTGACCGTCGTAATTACGCCCGATTATAATGGCAGAGAACCTGTCGAAACGGCCTTCCAAAGGAATCCTCAAGACGTCCAGCAGTTTTGACAATCCGGAGGCGCCTAGGTGAGAGACTCGTTAATTGAATTTCGATTGGCGTAAAAATAGAGACGCGTGCAAAACCCGCCGTCGGCGTCTCCCGTTGACGCTGAAGGCGGTTTGCGTGACTCGCGTGTCACGCGCGGCACATTTATCCGGTATTTATAAATTGCGAGTTCACACGGACCGTGACAGACGTCCCGGTAAAGAGAATAAATAATTATCGAACATTCCTCTCGCGGGATACGTGATCTTAATTTGATATAATTTTTTGCTCAACGTACTTAAGAAGCGTATCGTTCAAATTCGCGATTACGTCTGTGAAAAATATTTTATCAGAACATATTTTATCAGAATATGATTAAAGCATGTATACTTTTCTGGAATTATTCAGTTTAAAGTTATAAGAACTTTGCAAAAAAAATGTATAATACTGTTTGAATATTCTTAAGATATAAAGTAATTGACATTACCCAGCGTTAGTTGACACAGATTCTATTTTTAGACCTGGTGATGATCACCATTTTTTTATTTACCTTACATTAATCATATAGACCGAGCAAAGAAACAACATGGGACGAGATGAATATTATTGCTACTCTTCATCCTGCTGATAAGGATTATGGCCACATGAAGATTGAAGAACCAAAAACCCCATATAATTTTGAAGGCCTCCAAAATGAACATGAGTTTGATCAATTAGATGCTAGTGCTCTTGCAGCAAAGTAAGTAAATATAATAATTACATATCATAATTTTAGTTATTAATACAAGATATTAATTATGTGCTAATAAAATTATATAATATTCATCTACTTTATTATTAAAATTCAGGTTAGCTGGAGGTAGTAAGCCCAAAATTTTTGAAGAATCCAGTGAAGAAGAGGAAGATGAAGAAACTCCTGAAGAAAAAGGCTAGACATCTTATAATGTAGAAATTACTTTATAATGTAAAAATTTTAATGATTAACATGTTATATTTTAGAAAGGAGAAGAGCTTTTGAAGCAAAACGAAAGGGCCATTATCGAGAATGGCATGCTGTACAAATGGCGAGACGACTTTTAGAGCAAGAAGAATTAGAAGAGGAAGATGAAGATGGCGAGGGTAAAAATAATGAGGAAAATTCATCAGAAGAAGAAAGCAATTTTGACACGAGTTTCAAATGCATGCCGTCCTGTGATAGAACCGAAAAGAAATAAACGAAAAACATCGATTGATAATTTTCTGTTTAAAAACGTCGATCACAGTCATAATTTCGCAATAATGACTTCACTGTTTAATACTATCGTGACTAAAATATATCAAACAGCAGAGAAAGTGTTTACATCAATTACATTTAAATACCCAAGATAAATTTCGCATTTTAATTATGTATATACACTCTTTTTCAACTCCATCTTTATAGCTCTTTAGCGCGCCTCATATATTCTCTGTAAATAAACATTTCAAAATGAACCTGAATATTTAGCATAAATCGCTGTTAGATTTTCCAAGTTAGATGAAGTTACAATAACGTTACGAGTACTTAAAAATACTAGTAAACTGTGCACAGAAAAATTCATTTTGTTTAATGATTTATTTTAGTCTTCATACATTATAAAAATTTCAGTTATTGCTTTGTATAAACTCTCGTCATTCTTTCGCAAATGTATTGTTCCAGGCCTATCAACATCACATATTCAACACAGCGTTCGTGTAAAATTTAATGCTTTTGAGAAATTCTAATCATTATCAAAATTTGACGAACAATAAGGCTGAACAAAGCCCTCACGTATAATGAAAATTTAAGACGCTGTATGTAACATTTACATGAAGAGAGAAAAACATATATTTAAAATTATTAGTATATGTGTAATATATTACACAAGTTCTGTGATTAGCATAAGTATATATGCTATGTAACCTCAGAATGTATGACTTCAAATTTTCGTTTTTTCTCATAATGTTTGATTTTATTTTCTAAACTATCTGTAAAAAAAAATAGATTATATACACATAGATATGTAAAATTCAGTTTGTACTAAGCGGGTTACGTAGTATAAGTCTGTCCAAGTTCATCTCAAGTTTATCACACAATTACTCCATTTATCTCCATTATCAATCATTTTCATTTCTTTAATGACATCTAATTGATTGCAACGCATGGATACAACGAACACGTGTCTATATGATAATCTACTCTTTTTTGTTACTTACATCTTGTATATTTTATTCATCGAAATAACAAGGAGAAACATTCTGCTCGTAAATCAAAACACTTGGACAGGCTTAACTTAATTAAATTGTACTATTCGTAGAATGTATATTTAGGAAATTGTAATCTCAAGTATAGAACGTCCAACTGCGGCGACATTGTGTTTAGTATAGTATTAAAAAAAAAAGATTGTGAAATTACATATAATGATCATGCAATTATTTTGAATGTCTGTATCATAGTCGAATACAAAACATATTAATAGACTTAAAATAGTGTATTTGTATGCATAATGTCTCGAAATTAATAAACATGTGGGTTACATCACGAATATATAGAGAAAAAAAAAACGTTTTTGAACATCGTACTGAAAGTTGAAAATTAAATTTCGACTTTATCAATGAATTTACAATCACTAGCTTTGATAAGATTAATCATATACTTACCACACATTTCTCGTTTCATAAGTGGTTGATATATTTTTGATTGTACTCCGAGAAGTAGGCAATCGCTTTGAGAATCAGTATTTACACAGTTAACAAAACTTTCCAATTTCATCAACATACTTTTAATCATTGTAGATCTGTGTATAATGGAAAAGGAACTTGATTATAAAATCGATCACATGTACGATTATATGAATTTCTCTTTTATTGTATGAACATACTTTATAGAATTGAGAGTCCATTCCTGTTGTAATACTTTAATAGTGTTTAATAATTCATTTTCATCTATAAACCAATTTATGCTTTCATAATCACAATACCAGAGATTCAATGGAACTTGATGAGCCATATTGTACTGTGGTTTCTGTGGACAAGATTCAATGTCTAGAAGTTTCAAAATTATTTCAGGCTCTTCTTTCCTTTGCCCAACCAACAACAAAATGCCCATCAAACAACGGATTTGATGCCAGAGAAAGGCTTGACTTGTAATTTCTAATTCACACATATCATAGCCTTGAAAACAAAATAAAATTTAGTGTACATTATAAGTCGATAGTAAATAGTAAATAGCTGAAGAAATTAAAGCTACCTGTTGACTTTTCTATATTTTGATTATTAAGAAAGCTCACTGTTGCATCCATTACAGTTCTTTTAAAATTAATTACACCATTAGCTACATCCATTTTACAAATATTACGAAAATCATGATTCCCTATGACATACTTGGCAGCTTTGTCCATGGCTTTTATATCTAATCTACCTCTTGGAAAGAAATACCTATAGCTTCTAAACTTGCAGTCAAATCTTGCTGAGAAACTAGATGAGACTGGACACCATGCTATACATCTTATTTTTGCTGGTAGTAATCTGTTCAATATTTTACAATATGGCAACTCGTCAGATAAGTTGTCTTGATTTTCTGATTCTAATCTACTGCGTACGTCCAACGAGATTACTTGAGAGAACGAGCTAACACCTTTATCGGTTCGTCCGCAACGATGGTAATTTGCACTCTCGCGTGATTCTATGCAGCAGCTTTTTAGCAGAGCTGCGAA